AGGCGGATGCAATGCTTGATACTACGCAGTCATTGCAGTCCCAGAACCGCGCTAAAGTGGACAAGCTGAAGAAAGTGGTACGAGAGACATGCCATGCTCTTCCTCATCCTGCTCATGTGACATCAGGTTATGGAACAATATTCGTTCCTCTCTCGATACGAGAAGTGCTGGCCGGTCCACGACATGTTGAAGTGCCATCTTAAATACACTCGTACGAAGAAAGGCAGCCAGAAGACCCGCAAAGGGAAGGGAAAGGCGGTCGAGACAGCCTCTAATAGCCAGAAGAGCAAGCTGAGAAGCAGTCGCCAGGTATGCCCCTTCCATACTCTTCATCGCGTGCGGCCCTGATATCCAATGCAGACTCCTTCCTTGTCTGAATCGGAAGACGAAGATGTAGAGTCAGAGGACAGCTCAGAATGAAGGAAGTCTCGGACTCTGTGGACCCGCAGTCGATTCTATGTACATGCCCCTACATGACAGCTACTCGAATCTCATGTCCCTGTCCCTTATGCGTTGTGATCGACGAACACCTCTGTCTGCATAGAGGAGCATTGACGCGGGTATAGTGTCGCCATGCTCGAGTGCCCACTCTACGCTGCAATTGGTTGTCAATCAGTGAACGATAAACCGAGGTCCAGGAAGTGCCCACCGCGTTATCAAACGATCACACATCTTCTTCTCCGTCGCACTGACACTGCGGTGAATGGTGTCCTTGGCCAGTATGATGAATCGAACCTCGGGGACGACGCAGTAGTAAACTGTGAAGGGAATCATGGCCATATCTTGGTTTATCTTTAGATTCATCTCGTGCACCCGCCCTACAGGCTTCCCAAGCGCAGGCCAAATATCTGGCCTTATTCCCCCTTGCCGTAGATACACTTTCTGATCTCTTGGACGCGAGCCAAGACGGTATAAGCGGCCAACAACCTTAGAACGCGAACACTGAGCTTTTCGGGTGTGGCCACTGGGGGACTGGTTGATAGATTGGCTTTCGGAACGACATCAGGTTTGGGTCGACGACTCACCATTGCTGAAGTTCGCGATCGGGAGTCTCTGGTTCTGCACTACGCAACTCTGAGCCGCTTTATGCAGTCCAGCCCACTGAGCGCCGCTGGAGTTCTTTGTCATTTGTGGTGCCCCCTTTGTGTTAGCCGACTCGTGCCATTCTGCAGTGTTGCCGCTCTCTGAACAATAGCATTCTGAAAGATCTACGGTGCCTCGCGAATGGCGTCCCGCGGATGAGTCCACTCTTACATTCCTCAAGGCAGTGCATAGGCGGCATTGTTCCAACAACGCCACTCCTTCGTCCTCCCTTTGATAGTACATCTATTAAGAGTGTCGCGGAACCGCCACAAGGGTGCTACGTGATCCACACAACGTCCTCCGACAGGATGGAGTCTGACGATCGTCCAACACCACCCGCTGGCTCAGTAGACCTGGCGATGTCCTCAGAAGCCGGTCTCAATCTAGAGAGGATGGAGTCTGACAATCGTCCAGTACCTCCGGCTGGCTCATCAAACCCGGCCCAAGGTCCGTCAGCATCCATGGGCACAGTTCCCGAAGTCGAGAATGAAGATGCGATGTCCGAGTACGAAGATGCCGAGGCGGATATTGAAATGACCATGGAACCATCTGGCAAGCGTCGTGCAGCAGGTGGGCATGATCGTCAGCCTCCTCCCCGCCACAAGCCGGAACATGGCCGTGTAAGCGCTCTCCTGTACTCATGATAGAGGTATTAATTCTCATCTACCTAATCCAGACCAAAGTGAGAATCGTCGAGTCCACTCATTGGGAGAAGCGATTCCGTGCCCTGGAAGGCGATGTAGCCAAGATCCAGGAGATTGGACAGAACGCAATCTCACGACTGCAGGTACGTGAGAAGAGATAGATATGGTGCAGTGTTGACTTACACTTTTTGCAGGCAGAAAAGGCAGCACTTGAGGGGCAGCTGAGAGACCAGGCACTGAGTAATGCCAACATGACCCAGCAGGTCAGTTGCTTGAGTTGTTTCCTCATCGTCTCATACCATGTTCTAACCTGAACAAATAGCTGGTGACGTTGCAAGAAATGGTGCAGAAACATGTCGGTATGTA